AAGGAAATATGCACGTTGGTTTGAGGGTGAAAATATTATCTGATCTATTTTGAGACTTCTTTTATTAAACTGAAACCAGAGAAAGGAATTGCACTTGCTATATATCTTTGTTCTCTTATTCATAATGCGGTCCACAACGGGTAGCATGTGGTCTCAAATACTGGTCGTAACTTTACATATCATTCAAAACACCGGACGCAAGGAACTTGAGTACCCAGGAACCTGCATTGGTTAGAAGTAAAACCATGTCCAAACAGTATAATGAGGCACAATTCTTTGTGCATTTTAAAAATCAGGAGAAAATGGTTCAAGAATCTTTGAAGCTTGTAACACATTTTGTTCATTAAATCTTATCACAAATAGGACATAATATAGCACTTGTATTTTACAAGACACGTCTCTTCAGAAAATTTTATATTAATTCCTTCTTCGTGTTATTGTAGCATTTTTCCTTCTTCTTTAGTTGTTTCTAGAATAATGGAACTCGAAATGAATGTTTGTTCGATAAATTTTGGTGCAGCTAGCACTGATTGTATGTACTCTTGTTTGAAATTACTGGGCAGAAAGCCAATGGAAACTTTCTCCCATATGTTTCCATGGACTCAAAAGATAAATTCGGCTCCCTCCACCATCACTGTCCACGTGGTATGTTTCCTGAACTTCCCATGGCCTCGCCTTATGTTGCGTTTTTACAGTATTCCCGATTGTATGCAACTCCTTTACAACTTGCCTTCTAGCACCTCCCGTTGGGAATGCTTCTCCTTAAAAATTATGGCCCAGACACTCGCGTTGGGACTTTATCTGTGCTATAAATAAGGCAGACAGACAGATGTGGTACTATTTGAAAAAAAAAATACCAACTAACAAATATTTCCCTAAATAATCGATATTATACACTAGTATAGGGCCCAATCTAAACTTTTTCCAACCACTTTTATCGTCCTGATATATGATCCCTTAACAATACATTGTATGGAAACGGAGACTAATAGAAACATTTTAATTACATCCCAATGTGAAAATTTTTTGCTCGCATTCCTTCCATAACTGGGTAAAGGCTCATTTATCACAATTTTGTTGGGTACGTGCCCCTCCTGTCAACTCTTGAAACATTTGAATATTTTCACGGAACGTGGTTTGAACGGTATAGCAATGGCGGCCCCCCAACTAAATCTTTCTGATTTTTTAAAAGTGTTGAACGGTAAGACAGTGCAGTTTATTTGAGCATCACCCTTTCAAATCGCATTGAAAGTACATTTAAAAAATCATTTTAAGTAATGTATGATCTGGAGCTTTCACGGCGACAAAGTACAATAAATTCTTCTCGGGCTGAAAGACGAAGTGACTTCAGCAACCTGAGGTCCAGGACAAGATGGTTCTCGAAAGTTTGGATTTTTTCGTCATTCAACCATCTGACACGGTTGTTTGCACAAGAATAATTTATTATATAATTTCAACTGAAAATACCTTCACGGCCACTGAATCCAGATTCTTGGTAAAGCAAACAGCCGTAACAGCTGACGCGCCTCTAACCCCATCTGAGCGGTTTCGAATTTTTGTTTTGCAAAACCTAAACTGTATAGAGCAATTAAACTCACGCCACAAGGATAACTTCAAAAAGTATTTTGTAGCATGCGGGAGATCAGACATAATTCCAGAGGTAGCTGCTAAGAATATAACTGTTCCGTTAAGGATCCTACAGCGCAAATTAATTTGTATTTCTCCAATTCTAGAAAATTAAGAGGTTATATGGAAGGATTTTATTGTATTATAGCTTACATAACCAAGTAAACCAGTGCAAACAAATAACAAAATTTATTTTAGAATTTAGCTTACATAACCAAATAAACCAGTGTAAACAAATAACAAAATTTATTTTAGAATTGAAATTTTACGGCGATCAGACTTGTCATTTCAGAGTTAACCGAGGACTGATACGGGTCATCCATAAGAGTATTTTATAGCAAGAATTATTATTTCCCTTACTCGTCTTTCAACATTTAATTTGACATCTATCCATAAATAACGCTGCATGATCCAAGTAAGAGTTACAGAAACATAAAATGAGCGTATCTAAGAAAACAATTGATCGCATTAATCACCTACACTTATAATCTGAAAACTTTATGTTCTGTTTCACTGTTAATATCAGTTTACCTTCAGTACAGTTTTAATAAATAAAAATAATGGAATGACCATTTAGTGCTCACGTGAAGTACTGATATAGCATATAAGTTAAATTGGCACAATTTTGAAATAAAATACATATTTTCATTAATTAACAGAGAAATCGTAACATTCTATAATGGAGCAAAATTTCATAAAACATTGCATTTCGAAATGTGTACTTAATTAGAATTTCATTGGCTAGTCTATTTGACTTCAATTATCGCTTCCCTAACATTATAATTCGCACACGTACGAGATTACTAAATGGTGATTGAATTCATTGTCTAGAATCTGACCAAACAAACAGGGTCATCATAACAACTGATTGATGTCGGCTGGCGTTCATTCAATTTGACATCACGCAAGTTGTAATAAACGAAAAAAAATATTTTTACGCCTGTCGAATGCAGTTTGTGATTACGAGTTAAAATTTAGCCTACTAATCTCCCCCCCCCCAATATTAGCAGTAAAACAGAATTCTAGTTGAATGTTCGATTAAAACATAGGAAACCAGACGTATTACTCGTGTATGAATTAAAATGCATGTGGACTATCGCTAACGTTTACTAATATAAAGAGTAGAAGACGATTAATAGAAAGTGCCCTTAGGGGATTCTTCACCGTCAAAGAGGGCATACGGTTCAACAACATGAGTAAAACTTACATATGCGTTTGAGTCACAGAATAGCTTACAGACTGACAAATGTGTACACGAGTGCCCGTGCTAACTGGCAACACTTTAATTCTTTAAGACACAGTGACACTTATATCTACCAAAAGCATTAACATTTAGTAATTCTATACTTTCTCATCATGCTTATTTATGAGTTATGAAATTTTCAGTAGAATCGGTTGTTATTTAACTAACGTCAATAACAAATTAATACTATGATGGTGACCCATGTTTTTCTTAAAGTAGAACTGACTTTTAAAAAGAGAGTGAGTCAGAATTAGGCACAAATTTAACGAAATTGTAATTCTGAAATGAAGAAAGGTGAGGATATGACACAAAGCACATTACGTATATTAGAGCAAACTTTAATTTTGCCTTTGTATTTCAAAATCATCATTATGTAAGTATGTATGTGTGTTTTAGGACAGGATCCACTTGCGGACTTCTGTTAACATGGCAATGAACCTTCGAGTTGCATACAGTGCGGGAAATTACTTGACTAGCTCGACGAATTCAGTTTCTAAAGAAGGACTGTGTTCCAGAATGTATTTATTTTAGCTGGGCCATATGGATATTAATTTAAATGGATTTTCGTGAAAACAAGGTCCATACATAGAGGCACACTACTGCGTTTACAAAGAGAATTCATTGGCTATCCCAGCGGAATGCTGAACTCTTTTCATTAATATTCTGTTTCAATTTCCAAATCCATTATTATTTCGGTAAATCTAAATCCCTAGAAGGTACATAAGAGTTTTATTTCATTTTGATTCTCTGTTTATCATTATTTCCATTCCTTGTACTTCCATCAACGTTCCGCGTATCAATTCGAGTAATAAGTAAGCACCAGGCTGTTATTGGTTTTGTAATTTCAACATCTGCTGGAAACGTGTGGTTGCCAATCGTGATTTGCAGCGGTCTCTGAGGCTGGATTATCTGATATATCCCATAAGTTGCATAAATGTGTCCTCGATAGTAACATACTAGCATCCACCAAAACTATTACTTCCCTAAATTACTTTATTTTATAATTTATCACTATAAACTGTACCATGTCTCCGCACATTCATTAGTAGTGCGCGGGACTTTAAGGAAGAACATAATAAATAAAAATAATAAAACATATGGCGATACTTGCATTAATTCAGCATAAATACACATAAATGTATAGGCCTACATATATTCACACTAAAGTTTACGCAGACAGACTTAATTTCTGAACGACGCTGTACAATGGTTAGCACGCCTTAGAGTTTTCGGGATTTTCCCGGTTGAAGTTCTGGCTATAGTAGAACGGCTATCTTGGTTGAGTGATTCTCTGCACATGTGACGTATGACAATGCCTACCTGATTCACTACACATATTGTTACTGGGCCTTGTTTATTATCTGATGCAAGTGTATTATAATAATCAAACTTCTATAACCTGTGATATAAGTAACAAAACTATATCTATAGGTCTGAGATTTAATTAAGAAGGTGACAGTTGCTAGGCAGCCAGTGAAAGAATTCCTTGTTTTTAAAGGAATCGAAAATCTATTATCGTGTCCACAAGTGCTCACACCCGAAATTCCCCTGAGTAATATTAATCTTCTCTACATTCTAACAATACTGTTAAGACCCATTTTCAAATTATTTTTCTATCAATGGATCTTTTCCAAAGGATTTTTTTGTTAATAACAAACTTCCGACTATAATTTTGTTCCAGTTTCTCGTGTCACATGAGTATCTCTTTCACCGCTCATCTCACCCTACCTTCTTTGGCAATCATGAATATTTCGTGATTGTTTACAATATATTTTGGGTAACATATCATACACCAGTGACGTGGTAAAGAACATAATGTGTCATAGTATGTAGAATACGAATATCCTGTCTGAAGGACAATATGCTTACAATAAAATTATAAAATTCTGTAGTACGTAATTTACAAGGGTTTTACATTTTATGTGTAAGTGTACGACCACAACATAATGTTCAAATACAATAAGCCTGTTATATTTATAATTAAATAACCCTTGCTCTCGTTACAATAAGAACAGGGCAAGGAATTTTACACACAACCTGCCACTAACGTCCATAATGTACCGATTTATTTGATAACATGTCCTCATGAAAACTGCAGTTTACAATGTGTTTCGAATTTCATTTGTTTCAGGTAGCATGGCTCAGAGGCGATACTCAGACAATCCTTACAATCGCCAGTCATGTGATCACCAAAAATCATCGCATTGGTGTGACTCACAGTGATCACAGAACATGGTTTCTACATATCAGAGAGATGAAGGAGTCGGACCGTGGCTGGTACATGTGTCAGATCAACACGGATCCCATGAAGAGCCAAATCGGCTACCTGGAGGTGGTGGGTGAGTGTCTGCCAACAAACACGTAGTCTGATTTGTGAAGACGCAGGGTGCGGTCCGCAAAGTGACAAGTTTCCGAAGCGCAGTGTCGGAAGTAGGGAGCAGTCAAGGCTTCTTGAATACTTTAACCTCTTAGCTGGAATAGATTGTTGCATGACTCAGGTAAAGGTCCATTTATATACTTCCGGGCCGTCCGTTCATTTTCCGGACAAGATGATTTACACCTTTCAGGGCAGTGTCAGTGTCTAGGGAATGGATTCTGGGATCGTGTTTTCGAAATCCACTAGAGAAGGTTTTCCTTGTCTTGTGTATATAGAAGCCTTGCGACTGACCGACTCCTTGTCTGAGGCGTCTCGCCAACTGTTGAAATACGTTTCCGAAACCTTACATGAGAATGCATTCTGCGTTATCCACACGACTGCAGAGCCACAGAGAAAGTGAACGGCCGTGTCAGTACCATTGCCTATTTTGTCAGATTTGTTTCTTACTGGTTCCTGCGTTGGGTGTGAAGAAGACAGCATTTCATCCTGAAGAATTTAACTGGTCATTGTCCTTCAGATAGAAACAATTATCTGATAAGCTTTGACACAAATGTGTTCATGAACGCTGGAAAACCGAAAGATTATGGGTAAACAAGCCAATTTATTTAAGAATGAGGCTAATTTTATTAATATTTTAGAATGTCTCAGCATACATATAAAGTTCTACATAACACGAATAATGATATGGCCTAACTACTTTATTGCTTTTATTGTACGTAATCCGACAATTGTTTTAAATCAAAAGAAATATCACGGCAGTGAAAGCGAGTCCTCAATCAATATGGCGGTTATTTCTTAATCGGAAATTACTTAATATTAAGAAGTTTTCACTACAAATGGAGCCTGAAGCAGGAGTAGATCTCATCTCAACTGTCATGTAAACGAAATACATAATTTACCTCAGGCAGCTCAAATGTTTAATTTAAAGTAGTCACAGAAATATCTCACACGAAAGAATTGTTTCTCATACACTATTTCACAAGGAATGCCACTTTTTTAATAATAAGGAAAACTTTCCAGATGTATAATAAATGTAAAATTCCAAAAATTATATTACACTACACGAGACACCCAATGCCTTTTAAATTTTAAAATTCAATAACTATTATATTATTATTATTTAGTGTTCTGTCTGACGACAGGTCCATTGTTATGCCCCAAAACTATAATTGTTTAAAATATAAAATTAACTAAATTATTATTACTTGTATGCCGTAAACGATTATGGAAAGTTATCATAAAATATTCCTTTTAAAATTTACTTAAATATCCATTTTACATTGTAGTTCCATTTTCGTCTGATAAAAATGTTGTTTGAGGTTCTTGTTTATTTAGTTGCAGACGCTAGCTGCTGGTTATTCCCCTCAGGAAACGAACATAAGTCACGAATTAATTTCATGCTGTTGGTTTGAAAATAAGAATAAAATTGTCTGCAGACTGTGTGGTCTTTTGAGTAAATGTCTGAAAGATAAGACATCTCAGAAGACAACAAGCGATAAATCTTTACTGACCACAACAAATCGCATATGGAAAATGAATCTGTGGCAGCAAATAAATAAAAAATTATTTCCGTGATTAATTGTCTGATATAATCATTTTGGAAACAAATGTACTAAATCCAAGGATTGTGTTTTTATGTTGTAACAATAATTTCTTGCTTGGAGAATGATAACAATAACAGTTCTTTAATGACACTAACATGGGACAAATATCACAGAAATTTGCTGTGACATTGTAAGCAATGCGTCTATATCGATGAATTGTTTTAATTTAATTCTCTTTCAATTTGTTCATTTTTAATGCACACATTCATTAGTGTATGACTGTCACAGGCTGTTACCAAACAATCTGATAAAGGAACCCAATTGAATTGTTCTCATGAACAGTAGTAATGCTGCTTTACCATGCCAAACGTCTTATTCCTTATTGGCCTTCATAAAAATTGAATTCAACTGAGAATTTCGTGTTCGTGAATGCCTATTGGAAAAAATTACTGTTGAGTTGAATTTTAAATGTTCGTAAGTTACTGTCAGTAGTCTGTAGAGCCCAATAATTATTCCATGTTTCTCAAACACGTTACCATGGAGATGAGCATTATTCCACGCATCCAAGCAAGTACGGCGTCTAATATTACAGCATCGATTCGATCATTCAATTTAAAAGTAATGTATTCCGGTTTATACGTTTACCTTACATCCCTACCTAACCTATCAGCCCCACTGCACATTTGCCTGTGAAGTTCAGTGGAACGGAGGTCAGAAAAGGGGAAAATGAGCGAGAGAGAAGGACCGAAAGAAGGGAATATAAAGGACTTGGGCAAACAAGGAAAATTGCGGATTAGACATAGAAGAGGGCTAATGCTACGCTTCACACATATTTCGTGTTTCTATTGGTGGTGTCAGATTCATTTCTGTTTATCGCCTGCCCCTCACAGTCTACGTATTACTCGGAAAAAGCCGAGGAATACCAATTACTATCGTCTAGAAAGTCAATACTATTCCCGTCCCTTGCCACCGGACACCATCTGCCTGCAAGTCGCTGCTTCTTTCAGGTCACTCGGCCGTCGTAGTCGTTGTGGTTAGCGGAAAGTCGGTTTAAGGTTTGCTGGCTGCTTCAGTCTTAGAAGTGAGGTTAAGCCAGGGGAAAAAAAGGGTTTGTGAATTACAGATTGGAATGACCTTGCACAGGATCGGAGGTTCTCAACACAAAATGAATTAAACAAATTCAAAGGAGTAAAGAATTCTTTATATTTGCCTTTCTATTTGTTCCGGCTATAGTCTTATTATTACTGGATAACTCCTTTTTAATTGACTTGACACGGTACATTCACTATTTTTGGTTGTTCGCAAATTGTTTACCGTCTCTTAAATATTTCCGGAATGTTTTCTCAGTGACTACCACTTTCTGAGTCTTTGTTCTTTCTTACTACAACCCCTTCGCCGCCTTCTTCACAACGCCACTCGGTCGCGTCATTTTTCGTAGACCGAGCTGTCCTTCACCGTCGAGGACAAAGCATCTGTCAAACTTGAAATATAATATTAAAAACTTAAATCACTTGAACTATAACAAGAGAAATGTTCAGACATCTATGCAGTGGATGATTGCCATGGATTAGAGTTCAAGTAGAATGGAAGGGATTCTTCGACGTCGGCGCCATCTTGACATTTACTATACATTTTACTAGCTGTCAGATGTTATGAATCCCTGACAACAAGGTTCACTAACGTTGTTCTAAACGCGTAGGGTCTTGTGGCACGGCACCATAATTTATCTGATTTACTGTTACGTATAATTTGTCTTGGAGCCCTGAAGAAGGGAGATAGGTGTTGAGGAAGGTAGGTTAGTTTGAACCACTACAGCAATTGATTAACTTTAAAGTGACGTTGTACTTTATGTATTCTTTGAAATAACGCATTGCATATTCCTTCCTTAGGCGGTGTTATTGTTTTAATCACTTGTGTTTGCAATTCTGCCAGACTGATTTTCCATGCGGACGGAACAAGAACTTCAATTAGAAATCTACCTGCCATGTCTTATAAATTGTCTATTTTGTTTGGAAATCATTAGGAAGCACACTCAGACAGGCCGCATTTATTATTATCTCATAGCATTTGTTCCCTTCAGAATCTATTATAATATCTAAGTGTCTGAATTACCCTGACCAATTATTATATGCTCACGAGTAAACCAAAGTTTCTTACAGGCCTGCATTGAAGTTAATTATTTTTAACATTTCGTGCATGAAATAAAAATAATGTTATGAAATCAATTATATGAGATGTTAATGTCACCTGAGCAGGTTGCTGACTAATCAGAAATAACACAAGGTGATACTAAAATATTTTTTCATAACGTAAAAATTACGCCAGTGCCCTCACGGTCTAATGAACGTAAAGTGTTTGCCTTGGAATTTTGGGATCATCGGTTCGAATACATTTGGAGGTTCTAACGGTACACGCATCTTTCCTGTTGTATTCCTTCATTGGAGCCATTAAATTGGACCAATTCTTCTCACTAGTCATATAAAATATGTAACGCAGTGGCATGAACTTAATTTCTTGGGTCTAAGTATGTTTTTTAAGTACTAAGTTGGAAATCGTTGAATAGCTACCATCTGTTATATCTTAATTATATTAGTTTACCACGCAGATAAAGATCCATACAAATAACATTATTAATTGTTAACTATTACACAATTCCCTGAAATCGAATTAATTATGAGTCTTGATTGATCCTTTTTTAAAGACAAAGTACAGTTGACTTCATTGGAATTTTATAAACACAGAGTATATGAAAGTAGTAGAAACACTATAGAAGACACAGAATTTAATCTTGCATTTTAAGATGTGTAATTTTCTAACATAAATTATTAATTATCTGGTAGATGTTCTGAGGCAGCCTGTAGGCACTTCCGAGTGATATTTTAAAGTTGTAATCATATAAACGTGTGCATGGAACACGTAAATATATTCAACACGTTTCAAACATGTCGCATCCTTTCAGTTTGTTCTCGTAGAAAACAAAATGACTTAGATCTGTATGCACAGATCTTCAATACCATCAAACGTTTCTGAGATTTCACCCCAAAGACACCGTCAGTAGAGAAAAACGAGAAAGGACGTGCGTTTGAATAAGATGAGTTGGTTTACGGCAACAGCATCAGCATCCAGAAATAAGTCAGTGGAAGATTGTGTATGTGATGCTTTGTTCAATTGAGAGATCAACTTTTGAGACGACACTCTACGACTATAGGCTGTAGGACAAAACGACCTCGTTCATCGACTTCTCCCGCAGACACTGGTTTTACAGACACTCAGCACAACATTTTGATAAAAAGAAAACTTGTTCTGATTTAAGAGACAAATAACATGAGTTTCTACATTGTAAACATATCCATAACATTTTTCACTTACGCTGAAATCATACTGATAACAGAAGTGGATAGAAAGTGTTCATTCCGAATTTAACCAAAATAAGGCTTATGAATACAGCTTAAATATGTATATAATCTAATCGCGGTTGAGTGAAGAGTTATAGTATCTAAATATGAAGGCTTCAGTGTTAATAGTACTAAAAGCAAATGCCTCTGTAACGATGCTTCTATAAATAGTTGAACTAACATTATTCAAGTATTACCTCATTAAATTTAAACTAATTCGCACGACACTAAAAGTTACAAAATTAAATGCTTCGTGTATTAAAATATATATCACCATATTTATGAATTATGATCACTAACATTCAATATCCCAGGCATTTTTGGTGATATTTTCACTTCACGATTTAGCATGGCCAAAGATCAGATGTACGAATATTAGGGTACTAATTTGCATGCAGTTTACAATAAAGTTTTAAAACTGTCTCTGAATTAGTGCGAATAAGGAACGGATAACATGATGAAACATGTGATTGGAGTTTTGATAAAGGTTAAATATTGAGTAAGTTCATTATGTTTGATAGCGTAGACCTATTAATTGCTGTCACATGGAACATTTTCAAGGAACATGACTGTCATGGCAAAATATATGTTCAAATCTGAAATTTAAACAATATGTTGTTAAATATTACGTATATATTACTACAATCCTTTCCCGTCTGTAAGATCAACTTTGGGTAGACCTATACGGTTCGTTAAGTAGATTAAAATAAAAGACTTGGAAGCAATGTTATTCAGATTAAAATTGCGGCAGCTTCAGAGCCCTAAAGTAGAGAGAGTCCACAAATTTATGGTGCGGGTTTAAATCGTTGTTTTTCACAACCACTGATACAGAAACTTGAATGAAAGAGAAATTATAATCGTTTACGTGTGTTTTTAACGAAATTTGATGTGATATCCGTTCGTATCTTCGCATGTAGAATATTAACATGACAAAGCTTCATCGTGTTCCACTTTTACTGGAAGACTGCAGCTTATCTTCAGAATTCAGCTTCGAGCAGCAGTGTAATAACAGGGCCAAATGTTTGAAATGTTCATAATTTAATACAACATTTATTTTGAAAAGCAGGTAGAGTATACTAAACTACAAGATAAAATATTAGGATTTAAAAATTTATGCTACTGTATATTTTGTAGTTTTCTTTTTCTAGTAAACATTATTTCATTTGAGAACTAAATTTCTTAGGAATTTTCCAATTTTCATTTTAAACAGTGCTATGTTATTCAGTTCTTCAGACAAACGTTCCTAAGTTGAAAACAGGGTTCAGTAATTTGTGGTTGTTTAACACTAACTTTGTTTCCCTGGAAGCCGTATTATCTCTGCGAGATTATTTATAATTTAGTTATTTATTTTATTATTCAGTCTAGTACTCTTTTCTAAAATAATTCTAAAACGACCTGGACACCGAAGATGTAAATTACCCTTTTCATATAAACTGAAGGATAAGAGATGTCGGGAAAATCCGACAGAAATATGGTAAGAACTCCTAATACTTGCAAACGAACAGACCAGGCTGTGACGTTGAGTATTATTATCAGCCAATTATAATATTCACAGTCAGTGGTTACAGAGCTTAAGTAAATACCTTTATATTCCATAGTATATCAATTCTCCTTTAAAACACTGTGTTACCTAAAACGCATTGCTCTCAAAATCTGTATTTACATTTCACGGATGAATGTAGTCTCTGGTTTTGCTAGATATAGACGTCCATATACTCTGGGCTAAGCCTCTGCCGGATAATTAACACCACAGACTCTTCCCTTGCCTTCGTCTGCATTTTGCTTCGAGCACACGCAAGTGGACTATTATCATCATCACCTCACTCTTTGTGCTAATAGGATGCAAATGTATGGAAAACACCACTTCGTATTACATAACATCACTTCAGCAAGTCGTGCTATTTAGCGCCCGCCAGCACTGTGTTGTACGCTTTTTCGCTTGTCTCTTCTTTGATTGCTTGGAGCCAACAAAATTACAGCC